AATAAAAACAAACACCATTAAAAAAAAAAAAAAAACACATGCACACTTTTCAGTCAATACATTTCAAAGAATAAAGTTTAGGTTTTACAACATCAAGGAACAGCTCTATTGTTCTAAATAAAGACAAAACAGCCTTGGACATTTTCTGGTTGTCAAACTTTGTGAAGACCAGTTAAAATATATATATATTTTAAAAGTGTATCAGAAAAGTGAAGCTAAAAAAGCTTCGGCATAATTTGATGCCACTTGGTTTAACTATTTGTATCTAACGCAAAGAAATCTGACATTTTTCGATGTGACACACTAACATTCAAAGGTTTGTGGTTGATTTTGAAATAAGTTTCTTATGCTCACCAAGGCTGCATCTATTATTTGATTAAAAAAATACAGTAAAACAATAATATTGTGAAACTTTATTATATTTTTATTGTATTTATTGTATAAGTATTTGAAAATGTAATTTATTTCTGTGATGGCAAAGATGATTTTTCAGCTGTCATTACTCCAGTCTTCAGGGTCACATGATCCTCCAGAAATCATTCTAATATGCTGATTTGGTGCTCAAGAAATATTTCTTCTTATTATCAATGTTGAAAATAGTTGTGCTTCCTAATATTTTTGTGGAAACCATGTTAATTTTTTTACAGGCTTCTCTGATGAATAAAAAGTAAAAAAGAACAGCATTTTTACATGAAAAAAATGTTTTAAAAAAACATGAAAAATAGTTTTTGTGTTAATGTGTTTAAAACAAAACTTCTGAATAGTAGCATATGTTGTCTGACTGTTTACTGACCTCTGTTTAAAAATGGAATGTGGTCATCCTGCACGGGACCAAGATAAAAATCTTTCCTGAAGTAACTCTGTTCTGATGGGTGAGATGTCAACAAACCCTGTTTGTGGAGCCGCTTCTCTGAAAAAGAAACAGAGAGGGATTCTGGCTGTAAACGTCATGCATTTTTAGGCTGCAACCCAATCTGGGTTGTTTTGAACTTATACCTGCAGTGATCAGTCGGTCAAACCATCTGGCTGTGTTATCAAAGTGATTGACAATCAATGGTTCTGGGCCACCAAGCAGGTCCAGCAGGACTAACAGATCCTGGAAGGAAAATAGAGTTTCAACATTAAAATAACAGGGTATTCACATCTCATTAAAAATATAAAAATAAAAAAGGTAATAAATCTATTTACCCGTGAATATTTTTTTGTATTAACTTTTCCGTCTTCAGGTCTAGTGTGACACAATTAATTAAAATAAAATTTAAATCTAAATTTAATTTCTACTTTAAGGTAAAACATAAAAAAAGGATTTAAATAAAGTAATACAATTAAATAAAATGTAATAATAAAAGTATCATTAATAAAATATTATAAAAAATATAAATTCATGTTTAAATATAATTCTAATCAATTTATAAATCAGTTTAGCAAGGTATTTCTTGTTTGTTTTAACATATCCCTCCTCAGGTCTAGGATGATTAATAAAAATCCAATTTAAATAAAAATCTATTACTACTTTAAGGTAAAACATATAAAAAAGAATTTAAATAAAATAATACAATTAAATAAAATGTTATAATAAAAGTATTATTAATAAAATATAAAATAATGTTTAAATGTAATTTTAATAAATTATAAAATAGTTTACCAAGGTATTTCTTGTTGTTTTAACATTTCCCTCCTCAGGTCTAGGATGATTAATAAAAAAAAATATATATATATATTATTACTGTAAGATTACTATTATACTGTAAAGTAATACTAATAATAAAAACAATAATAATAAAATACAGTTAAATAAAGTCAAATATCAGATTTTTTTTACTTTCATTAAAAACATTTTTATACTGTGTTTTTGTTTTTTTTCTATACAGGGTGTTTTTGTGTATAAACCACCAATGAATTCATGTTTTTATTTGTTGTATATGTATGAATGCAATTCATTTTGTAGCTGATGTGATGATTGAACCTGTATTGAATGACGAATCAAAGTTACGAGGAGGTCTTCAAATATTTGAAACGTCTTGAAAAGGGTATTACAAAGTATTAAATCTGACATGCTGATACCTGCAGATACCCTGAACTCAAAACCTCTCATCCATAAACATTCTTTACCATTAATCACACAGCAAAATATATGAAAAAACAAAGACAGACTGATCTAAGTACACACAACCTCACCACTGCCTGGAGAAGAGTGGTTTTGGTGGATCCAGAAGGGTGGGGAGTACGGGTCATAAGTTCAGCCAGATGACGAGAACCGTAGAGAGAGTCTGTTTCTGTCCATTCCTCAAAAGCCTCCTCTCCATCAAAAAACACCAACTGCAATGTAACAGCAGACCTCTGGAGAGAAAGGCAGACAGAGAGGATGCAGGTAATCTGTTATTCTCTCTCGGACTCATAATGATGTACACACACTTTAGGCTTGATTCAGCACTGTGATGCAGCTGATTCTTGTTAAATATGTCTTCACCCTTTTCCTCATGATTGTGATTTACCTGCAGTTTTAGAGCTTTAAGCTGTGTGTCCAGAGCAGTGGCCAGCTCCAAGATCATAGCACAGGGTATGGCTGAATCACTGGCACCCACAAACACCCGCTTGGGGTTTTTAGGGTCTGCAGGTAAGATCTTTGAGTCATGGTGGCATGCTAGAAGCAGCCTGCGAGGAGCCGTGGGGTCCAGAACTGCTAGCACATTGGTGAAGGTCACTTTACCCTGCGGGGTGGATGAAACGAAGGAATTCTCTTCCAGTGTCCATCCTGCTGACAGTGAATCCAGCTGGGACAAGATATGCTGTAGTTGGAAGAGGTGAGAGAATTTGACTGACCTTCACTGCATGTTTATCAGAAAAAGATATTTAAAGGGGTCCTATTATGCTTTTTCACTTTTTCAACTTTAGTTAGTCTGTAATGTTGCTGTTTGAGCATAAAAAAGATCTGCAAAGTTACAAAGCTCAAAGTCCACTTCAAAAGGAGATATTTTATTGAACAGAAATCACTTTTCAAAAACTACAACGAACGACTCGTTTGGACTACAACGCATATTTTCCGGGATTTGTGATATCACAAATATCGACGAATGGGATGAGACCTGGTTTGAGCTGCACTAGAGAAGGCAACGAGTGTTATCACTATGTCGGAGACACGCTAGCTTTCCCAAGACAGACGAACTTAGAGTGGTTACAATCGTCCGGGTTTAAATCGTGCTCAAATTGAGTTGATTTTGACGCAATATTTACACTGAAGCTCGCAGGTGGCTATGGTAAGGGGCGTGACATTTCCCGAGCAGGCGCCGAGTGCTGCCAATCACAACACACACTGGCCCAGCTAACCAATCACAGCACATTTGGTTTTTATGAAGGCGGGCCTTCATTTGATTCAGGAACTATTCGAGTCGTTCATTCCAGACTGGGGAGAGAGGTGTTGTAATAATGTAAAATATGTAAAAAATAATGTGTTTTTCGAACAACCTAGTATGAGAGCCTGTTCTAGTACACCCCCAAAACAAAATCAAGACTTTGTAAAAGAGCATAATAGGACCCCTTTAAAGGAATAGTTCACTCAAAATGTTAAATCTGCTGAAACTTTACTCACCCTGAGAGCCATCCAGGATGTTAATTTTTTTTATTTTTTTTTATTACATCACTTGCTCATCAATGGATCCTCTGCAGTGAATGGGTGCCGTCAGAATGAGTTTAAACAGCTGATAAAAACATCACAATAATCCACAAGTAACCAACACGACCCTAGTCCATCATTTAATATTTTGTGATGTGAAATGCTGCATGTTTGTAAGAAATAAATCCATCAAGCCTTTTTAACTTTAAACCAGTGCTTCTGGAAATAATTCATAATAATGCTTTCTTCACAGAAAAAGACCATTCCATGTTGTCCTTTCACATCAAAATCCACCGACATATTTGTTTAGAACTGTAAAATAGTGTTTTGTTTAGAACTTGTAAATAGTGCTTGATTTGTGCATATATCTTTCTTGATTCAGACAAGATGACTTTTTCGCTGGGAAAAGCATTATAATGAATAGAAGAGGTTAAAAAAACATCCTGATAGATTTACTTCTTATAAACACAGCTTGTCGCTTCACAAGATGTTAATCAATTAACTGGAGTCATGTTGATTACTTGTGGATTTCTGTCATGTTTTCATCAGCTGTTTGAACTCTCATTTTGACGGCACCCATTCACTGCAGAGGATCCATTGGTGACTAAGTGATGTAATGCTAAATTTCTCCAAATCTATTCTGATGAAGAAACAAACTTATCTACATTTTGTACGGCCTGCAGGTGAATACATTTTCAGCAATTTTTCATTTTTGGGTGAACTATTTAAAAAAAGAGAGCAATGTTATTACATATATATCTTGTAATATAGGAAACAATGTGCAATATATTACGACCTGGGTCTAGGGTCAGGGATGTAATCGCGCTGTGATTGAAGATGTTTAGATAGTAGTAGAACATGTATTACCTGCCGTATGGTCTGACTGCCTGCAGTCCCGGGCACTCGTTCAATTAGCAGGGGCCGCAGGTGAGTCTCCCAGAGCCGATGCCCGTCCACCTGTGCTGCAAACTTCTTTATTTGTGCCACAGAGTGTTTATTTGGCTTATGAGCATTCTGCAGAAAGGAAAAGGTGAGCATATGATCATATTTATCTTATCTAAAAAAGGGTGTCCAATCCTCTTCCTGACAGGCCCCCTTCCTGCAGAATTTAGGTCAAACCAAAGCTAAACAAACTTGAACCAGCTAATCAAGGTCTTTAGGATTACTAGAAACTTCAAAGTAGGTGTGTTAGAGCAGTTTGGAACTAAGCACATTGGGCTGTGAAGGGCCACATACTGTCAAAAATAAACACAATAAAAGTAGTCCATACTTGGAAAGGAAAGGAAAGGAAAGGAAAGGAAAGGAAAGGAAAGGAAAGGAAAGGAAAGGAAAGGAAAGGAAAGGAAAGGAAAGGAAAGGAAAGGAAAGGAAAGGAAAGGAAAGGAAAGGAAAGGAAAGGAAAGGAAAGGAAAGGAAAGGAAAGGAAAGGAAAGGATGTGACGTGTGGACAAGTATGGTGTCCCATACTCGGAATTGGTGCTCTGCATTTACCTATCCAAGTGCACACACACAGTAGTGAGAAGTGAACAAACACACACACACACACACACACACACACACACACACCGTGAACACACACTCGGAGCAGTGGGCAGCCATATTGCTGCGGCAATCCAAGGCTTTGGTTATTCCAAAGCTGCCAAGTCCACAGGGGGCACCCGGATATGAACCGGGGACCTCTTGATATTGCATATTTTATGGTGGGTTTTTTCTTTTTTGGAGCATGACAGTCTGTGCCCATTTGCTTTTTTGAAAACAGCAATGTAAACATTCTGCCTAACATCTACCTTTGTCCTCCATGGAAGAGAAGCAGTGTTACTTTAGTATAATTTATATGAATACTTTGAATTCTCTTTTATTTTTGCATTTTCAGTTACATTTAATTTTGATATCTTTTAATGTACTTTTCTTAAATTACTATTTAGGTTTCATTTATTATTTACGTTTAATTGATTATTATTTCTGTTTTAGTTCAGTTTTAGTTTATTTAATTCCAGTTAATAATTTCAGTGCTTCAATTTAAAGTTATTTCAGTAAGTTGCCACAGCAAAATATCTAATTTTCGTTTAGTTTACGGTTTTTTTTCTTTCTTTCTTTAAGCTTAATTTCAAATTTTTTTTAAATCAATTAATAGTTTTAGTTAATGACAATAACCTTGCAAGAAAGTCAATCCTGAAGATGGAATTACATATCAAAATAATGACAGCATTGTTATCTTTGGGTCAAACAAGTCTTTCAGTAAAACAGAATTGTTAGTCGTAGCATATATTTCAGCTCGATGTCAGCTCACCCTGTCGCTGATGAGATGTGCAGCATGCTGCTGTAGGGTGCTGCCGGGCTCTGCAGACAGATACAGCGCCAGAATCATGGCCAGCGAGAGCGCGCCGCAGAGACACAGCAGCAGCACGCGCACGCGCGCCACTCTCAGCGGGTCGCATGCTGCCAGCGCGTGCCCGTTATTGGCGTGCAAAGCTTTGGGTCTTCGGTCGGCTCTTGACATTCTGACGTGGCGTTGACGGCTGACTCCCGGTTAAAGATGCTGGGGCGACGGCGACGGCGACAGGCGTGTCCCTCCAGCGTTGGCACTGACCGCACGCACGCCAAAGGACACGTCAGTACTTTAAACGGCCAGCTTTGTCCACTATCGCTATTGTCACCGTACTGTACAAAACACTAATTTATATGACATTTCAGAGCCCAACGAAACGGGTAATGTTTTACTAAAGTGTTTTCTACACGAATACTACCTTTTCTACCTCTTAAATTGCCTCGTAAACAAGAACCAGAGACGACTTTTACTCTACTAACATTACTTTTCCCGTTCAAAACGTCACATTTCACATTAAATAAGGCGATTTTACCTTGTTAAAGAACTTAAATACCACCAGGAACGTCTTTAATAGCTACTTCCAAGAGCAAAAAATACGCGAAGTCAACAAAGTTTGCGCCCTTCCGTCTGGAGTCACTAAGCCGCGTCTATTAATCATGCAATAACTGAATGAACTCTGTCAACACTGGAGCTGGACTTCAGCCACTCAACCCAAGAAAGTCAGCGCTCTCCCATCACTGGGGACGCATCTGACGTCGCTAGATGTTCAAAATACGAGTGCATGGCGAACTAACAAAAGCGGTGTGTCCTTTTCTATTGTCTTCTTTTATTAAGGCTTGTAATGGGGGTATACAGTCTGCTGCAGCCTCTTTTGACTGCGCTTCCGCCATGGTGATGTCAGTTTGGCCGAGGTTAGGTAGTATGTCATCTTAAAGGGACAGGCGCTCAATGTTCGCTTGCTGCGTTCTTGTCGGACTGAACACAGGTTGAACAATATAAAAGTTATTCTTATTCTTAAAGTTATTCTTCTAATATTATTATTCTTAAATGCTTATATTATAGTTACTCTCATATTTACTTGGAAAAAAATTCAGGGAAGATTTCACAGCAAAAAGACACATGTACCACCATAGATAGGCTATGTATATATGTGTACCATGACCTGTGGGGGGGGCCTTTATGTCAAGAGGAAATTACTCAAAGCGAGAACGCATGCAGAGACTGCGTGCTTTACATAACGTTATTCATCAGAGCTTTATAAAAAAAGATACAGGTAACGAAAATATTTATTTTCAGTCATGTTCACGGATGTGAGAAATTAACTATCCAAGTGTCCGCTGTTGCTTATATTATTATCACACTACAATGCAAGATTACTGGTCTAGAGCCGCCACTGAGCAGTGGGAGTCCCGACTCCGAGAGGTGTCATGTGGTGTAGGGGTTGCGACACAGTGAACCAGTTACCAAGTAAATGAACTCTGAACGGAAGCTGTGTGAGGGCTGTGATGTGATGTGGTGTGTGTGTGGGTCACAGTGAACCAGTAGTGAATACAAGCTGTATTTCCTTCTGTTGCCTTGATTTAAACACTATATGATCAAATAAAACATGCTTCATTGGTTCTCTAGTCTAATTGACGTTGGAAATTGTTTTAATTTAATTGTTGCTGGGAAAAACGGCTTTATAATTTAATTAATTTTATTTCTAATGGCATCCAGGTCTTCTCAATTGAAAAATATACTCGATATTACAATTATGACAACACTTTACAAAATGTCAATTCATTAGCATTATGAGCAACAATATATTTATAAATTGTTAATTCATGTTTGTTTAAAAAACAGTAACTCTTAATAAAAATAAATAAAAAATGTCTTAGTTTATTTAAGTATATTTAATGAGTCTTGCATTAAAAGCTATCTTTATACCTGAGCAACATTTTGGCTTCTCCAAAAATAAATAAATAAATAAAAATAATAATAAAACTTGTTAAATTTATGGGAAATAATTACATTATTATTTATTTGTTTGTTTACATATGCATTAATATTTTTAATTAGTAATATTGTCATTAATACACCAACATGTAAATCATATATATTTTGTAATAATTTTTTTTGTTTTTTTTATCAAATTTTGTCTGATTGTTCCATCTTAAATTAGGGATGCCTTCTACAGGATGTTATCGGCTTTACGCGTTTATGACCAGCAGAGGGAGCAAATAATTAGTCAGCCCGACAATCTTTTGTTCCAGCGGGAGGCGCTGTTGTTCTTCTCTGTCTCTGTGGCGGTGGCGGCAGCTCGGTATGGAAGCGTTCCATCGCGTTTTGTGTCAAGCGTACTCTTAAATCGCTCAACAATTAACATCAAACTAATTTCAGTTATGTTAAATGATCTCTTGGATCAAAACTGACAGTGCTACTCGCCAGTTACTTATACATAGAGCAGTTGTTTGGAGAAGAACACCAAAATAACACTTTCCCATCAGCGAGACCGTAATGACGCAGAGTTCACCACCACAATGCGTTTACGTGTAACTTATACAACTATTTATCTGGTTTTCGAGACAAGATCAAACTGCATTTCGAAGTTTTCAGCGGCAGTGCAAGAATTAAATAGAGTAGCTACACAGAAAAAGCATCAGTTACACACCTAATTAGCTCTTTAGTATGTGGCATTAGCATCTCTGTTGGGAAGTGATACATTTAACTTCTGAATAACGTAAGGGCTGTGTTTAACATTACTCAAGAGAATTACAAATTTTTTTTTTAATTGTAAATCAAGTTTTATTTTTGTTCTGTTTTTTTTTTTTTGAATAGCAGCATTTAGTAGTATTTCTGTCTCTCTCTCTCTCTATATATATATATACAGGTGCATCTCAATTTTTTTTTATTGGTCTTATGAAGTATTCTAATTTGTTGAGATTTAACTATCCCTTTTTTGCAGCTTAGTTTCAATAAATGAACTTTTTAGACTTGTATTCCTCTTAGTATGACCTCATCAGGAATTTATGGGCTTAACAACAATAATATGTACATTTTTAACAAGCTGGCATTTGTACAACTTTGCTCTTCCAGTGTAGCATAACAATGTAAAATAAAACAATGGTCAAGAATGTTATCATTATGAAATATTTTAATATCTTTTTTTTATAAAATAATGAAAACATAATTTACACATATTAAATGTACACTCATTGATACAACATCCCCAAAAGAAACTGAAAGATTGATCAGTTATCAATAGTTAATCGAGGCATTAGAGCCACTGTTTCATGCATGAAGCAAGAGACAAAAAGATGAATTACAATAAAGTTTCTTTAAAAATAAAATAGGATAAAATCAGCTTTGTACAAAAGATCATGAATCAAACAAAATATAAAGGACGAACTAAAAAATACATCAACTCAGTACCCTCCAATAATGTTACCAAATCTGTAGTCTTGTAATTTTCACCGCGAATTTTACTTTCTGTATTTAACAAAACAAAACGAGGAAAGAATCAAAATAAATAGTCAAAATATTACACATAAAAAATAAACCTTCAATTATTACAGCTGGACCATGATTTAAGAATGCGCAACACAGATGCACATAAATGTTTTCACAAGTATATTACTCATATTTACCTATATTTAAAAATAAACAATAAAAACACCTCCACCCAACTATCAAACAGAAATCATAAGACAATCCATGGTGTAGATATGACACCCAGTAACCCAGAACTGAGTGAGACACCAAGAGTCTGCAAAACCTCCCACTTCATTGACAGAAAAACACAGTGGGTGAAGTTCTTGTAGTCACAGCAATGAGATGAGAATCTGATAAAACAGTAAAAATGGATCTAAAACAGTGGGGCAAATATGACCATTTGACTTTGCAAGCCCAGAGTGATGATGTGGAAACAAAAGCTTCCAACATGTATACAGAATTGTATTCCCATTTACTCATGTTGTTCCAACCCTGCATGACCTGCTTTCTTCTGTGGAAATTAAAAGAATACAATGGAAGTCAATGGGAACCAAAACGGTTTAGTTGCCAACGTTCTTCAGAATAGTTTCTTTTATGTTCCATAGAAGAAATAAAGTCATACAGGACTGGAACAACATGAGGGTGAATAAATGACATTTTTGGGTGGACTATTCCTTTTTCCTCATAATTTATAGTGGGGAGAACATGTTATGCTAGCTATCAGCAGTTCAAAGCTGTATAAAATCACTATATGTACAATTACACTACTAAACAACTGCAATGAATGATGTCAGGTCTTATTTGTATCTCTCACCCCATAAATAAACAAAAACCTTTGCGTTTTACAATGCTAGTTACTGTAATAGGCATGTATATAGTTGTTTTTGTGTATCTGAGCAGAGCAGACACATTATATTTTCACTTATAGCTATGATGACTAATACAATTAAGTCAACCGACTGTTGCCGTGCTTCTGCTTTCACGTGAATAAACAGGTCAGAGACGAGTAGATCAGGTCATTGAGAGGGCGGCTTATGGGTCCTGAGAGAGGAGGAGATATTTTTCCAGTCACATCAGGTTAAAGGGATGGAGAGAGCTGATATGAGTCACATCACTGGACACAGCTGACCACTTTAAGGCAGACATGTACAGAGTAACATGGGGTACATGATAAACCATATTCAATCTAGCCTGACTGTTATTCCAGCTACTCTTGAAGATTTTCCAGAGCGTATAACTCTGGACGAGTACTTTGCGGATCATCTTAGTATGTAAACACGATGATCTGCCTAGAAGTTGAAAACAGCCATCTGCCAACAGTCGTTTCACCTGATAAACCTAAACTAAATACAAATAGAAAAATAGAGTCTGTATGGAACACAGCTGACCAGGTTTTCTTAAGTGTCGGCTTTGCATATACATATACATATACAGTGTCGAAATCTGACAGAACAGCCCAAGTTTACACACAGTGCTATGCCAAAACCCTACATAAGAGAGCAAGTGGCATTTCCTGTCACATGACACTGTCACTTAAAGACTGAGCGATGTCCATGCACAGAGGAAACGATCAAAGACTTGGGTGTAACATCACAGTTTTAGTAGTGGTTGCTATCATTGGTCACGTCTTTCTGTTAGAAGTGGTGGCGGTTCTCCATCTCTGGAGAAGTGAAGATCTCCAGAGCCATTATTGCAGAGTTTCAGTCACTATGACCCCTATAGGAAGTCGGTTGGATGATAAATCAGCTGAGATGAGAATAGTTTGAACAATTGCCACTATAAATATGAATAGCGTTTAATGTACCTGCACATGATTATGCGATGTAGAATTATAGTTTACAGTGACATGTTATCCGTGAGTCATTCCCAGAGCACTGCACTTTTCCTCACAATTACAGTACCGTGATTTCTCGCAACGTGTTGGGAAAGGTAGGATCTCTCACGTGGCTCAAGTTTCGATTTTATGTTGCTTTTTAATTTTTTTTTGGCTGTTGAGCTGACTGTTCAGTAAATAGGCCTCTGATGTTTAGCGTCTCTCAGTTTTACTGGCTCAAGCTTAATGTCGACTCGTCGAGTACAAAAATAAATCTACAATGAGAAAATAGTTCCGAAAGTAGTTCGATCAGATGAGGAGATCGCTCGCTTCAAGGTAGGACTCGCGCGCGTGTTTGTTTGTTTAAAAATAGACATTTGTACTTCTGTACCGGCTTTAAGTTAAAGCTTTAAAGTCTCAAGTCATCAGGCAGACCCACATAAACTCTTTCGGTTTCCCTCCATCACACTTTCATAAAGCTCACAGTATGGTGTGGTGAGGACGAGCTGGCAGACTTGTCTAGATGAGGGCGAGCAGGACAGTGGATGCACTGGATAATAAGAGACTGTGAATGAAATTAGCTGTTGGCACTTAACATGC